ACGAAAAAACAGAAAATCTATTTCAGCTTGGCAAATTATTCCAGGTTTTGTACAGTAGCCCAACAAAGCCCAAACGACTGGTGAAGATGGACCAGCTAGAAGAGCGAGGTGCGAGAGAACGCTGGGACCCTTTTTCCAACTGGATCCCCGCCAGAAATCTGGCAACCATTACTGCGATTGGTTGGTCAGGTTAATTTCCATTCTGTCCCAGTCTAGTCCTTCGTGTTTACTTTCCTGGGCACAAACTGTACTGTATGTCTCAAATTATTTTTTTTAATTTTTTTAAAAATAATTTTTTATATATTTTTAATTTTTATTTTATTTATTTTTTTCTCTCTCTCGTGTGGGTGTCCTTTTTCTTATGACTTTTTCTTATTGGAGGTCGTTTTGTTGTGTTTTTTGTTTGTTTTTTTTATGACTCAAGGGAATTGTATGGTTTGTTTTATATGTATCACATTGTAAATGTATGGCTCTGCAATTCCTGTTAAAAACCAAATAAAGTTTGTAAAAAAAATAAATAAATAAATAAAATAAATATTACTCCCTGCATAATCGTCCACCATTGTTTTTGTTTTTCTTGCCACTTCTGCGTAGCAAGAACCAGAAGAGTGACCCCTGGTGGTTATTAACGGCGTTCAGGTCGGATGATGCGACCTGAGTCTGAACGGCCAGGTCGCATCATCCGACCTGAACGAAAAGATCAGATCCGTATCTGATTCAGGACCACAGAGCCAAGTGGCCTGGGTCGCATTCGAAAAAGCGGATTAAAAAATTAATTAAACTCAAATGTTTTTCAAACAGCTGGTAACTTAAAAAGCAGTGAAGCATTATAGTGTGAAGAATCCTTAGTGTTACAAATCCTTGTTATTCCACTGTACTGGCCTGGATATAAGCAGGCTTTATAGACGAAGCATCTTTGACAGTCTGGACATGCCTTATTCCCTAGATCTGAGGAATTTGGCAAACAAATGTAGAACCCGATGTTCAGTACAAGCCATAACGTGCACAGGGACTTCCAGTCTCCGATATACACAAGGGTAGACAAGCTTCCGGCTCGGATGCAGGTGTGTGTATTTTCATCCAGATATTCCCATTTTATCTCTTCTGTCACCGTTTACCATCTATACTCCCATTGGGGAGAGAATGGATAAAAAAAACTGGCTTGAACTCAGCCTGGCGGTTACCTGACAGCATTAATCTGCCACAAACTGAGGCCCACCAGTGTCCCTGTAATCAGGCAGCGTTTGACAGTTTTCTCTGTTAGAGCTTTTTTTTTTTCTGAAACATCAGCTACAGGCTATCAGTATGGATGAAAATAGATGGAGGAGGTTGTTTTAAGGGTTTTCAGCTGTGTTGAACAGATGTATGCAGGTTCAGAGAGGAAGAAATAAGCATTGCTTCAGCTTTTGGTGGCACAGCCCTAAGAAGGTAAATAGCTGTCATTTCAGCAGGACAGCGATGACACAGCTCTTTGTAAACTATTTGCCTCCATTAATCCATCTAATGTGTGTATCTCCATAAGCTTCTTCTTTTTATTACATAACTAATTTATAGTACAAAGCATGCATGGGCACAGGGCCGGATTTAG